AAAAAAAAAAAAAAAAAAAAAACATGCTATTTCTACTAATACAGAAACCTGGTAAACAAATCTAAGTCCATTATTTTCAGCTATTGGCATTTCTATTTAAGGCGAAAATGTAATTTCTTCATACTTTTTTCATGTAGCTGTCTGGATAGGCTAGGTTATGCTAATGGGAACAAAGCCAAAACTCTTTTCAGATGCTTAAAAGAGAAGAGGTTATTTCTTGTTCACAGTATCTGTGTGTGTGTATCATGAGTTGGCTGGTGGCTCTTTTGTGGATGGTTTTCCTCACATTGGAGCCGCGGTTGAAAGAGGAGCCACGAACGTTGCTGGCAATCTGGGTAGACAGTCAAAAAATAGAGTGTGGCAAATTGTGCACTCATTAACCTGTTACCTAGAATAAGAAATAGCTGGAATAGTTTTGAACTGTCCATATTACTAGTAAAATCTGCAGACAAAACCCTTTTAACCCTATTTGTGATCTAAATCGTTGTCTCTAATATCAAATACTTAAAATTCTCTGTGGAGTGTGTGGGGTTGGGTGAGAGGAGAGATATCACACATTTGATGATTACCAAGTCAGGATCAAAACTTCCTGCATCTACCACAGAATTCTGAAGACAGTAGGTTCAGAGAACACATCTACCATATGTAGCAAATACTCTATTATTATTTGTGCTTTAGCTCCAAATTTCATGTCTTGAAAAACTGAGTTTGAAATAGTCAAACTCCTTTTTAGCATAACCAAGTAAAATCAGGGTTCCCCATCTCTCTCTTCTCATCTCATTCTTATACCCTTGGTTTGCCAGCATAGGACATATCCCATAATGGAAAGCTCAGGTCCTTCAGGCTGCACTCAGCAGTGCTCTCAAAAAGAAAACAAAGAAGAAGAATCCAAAAGATTAACAAAACAAAACAAAACACAATCATGCTAAAAACAGAGATTCCAAAATAGAGAATAGGCCAATAAACCAGAAATGTGAATGACCAAGAAAACTGGTTGGCCATTTCCATGTATCTTTCTCAAATCAACAAATAAAATCATCATCTAAATTTGTCCAGGATATTTTTATTTATCTTATATATTTTTCACTTGCTTTTTTTGTTGTTGTAGTTGTTGTTGTTGTTATAAAGTTCAGAACTCCATATTTTAAAAATCCTCTGCATTTGGTTTGAGTGTAGCCAGATAGAAGCATAGGAACCTATCTGGCTTGTGTTACCTGCTAACACAAAGGGCACACCTAGCCACCCAGTGGGTCAGAAAGCTGCTAGCTAATACAGTTAACCTAGTGTGACAGGAAACTGAGGGGGAAAAGAAGAGACAGAGGCAAAGAGAGACATCATTGGCATGAAGAAAGACTTGTACATAAATGCCATTTTCCTGGGGAAGGTTAATATTTGACTTTTCCGAATTAATTTTTGTGCTAGTACTCAGATACTTAGTTTATCTCTCTGCTAGTCCATAAACAAATAGTGAATAATTTCTGGATGAATAATACTGGATATTGCAGATTCTCCTTTCCTGCAGTTCTCAATGTAGTCCCTTTGACCTCTATTACAGAAAGTTATTTTTGCTGATAATCTATGGTTTTAAGCCTACTGACAGGCCACTCCATGTGGTATATTCCTGCTAAGTAACTTAATTGAGATCAGATTAGTCTGAGACAATTACCTAGATTAACATATTTATGAAACCAGCCTTGGCATTGCCTGAAACATGAAAGCAATGAGAATGAATCTAGAAAAAAGAAACAAGAACTTCCCCTCCTCACCCTCAAAAAAGGAGTAGTTTAGAATGTCATAATTTTTTTTATAATTTACAGATACTCTTTCATTTTCATGTATTAGCATTAGAATTGTTAAACTTACAGTGCCTAGTGTTATTAAATTATAATTAGTATACTTTAGGCTGTGGGAGGCAATGCAATAGAGAAATCAAAGTTTTAAAAATCAAGTTTTAATAGCAACAGCAGTTCACACAATTAAGCTAGCAATTCAGTGAACTGCATCTTTTACAAATTCCAAGCTTTGCCGCATCATGGGGTGACTTTATAGCCTACTGTTTTCACATCCTTGTTGATATCTTGAATTAGTCAAGCATCTGTTACCCCAATGAAGTCAGATATCTATTTCAATACTTTTGTTTTCAGCATTGCAGTCATGATCTCATTGCTTTTATATATGTTTAGAAATGAAAAACTTGTTTCTAATACTTTCTGTATTTATTTTTTTCACATGCTTGTTAACAAAGGGCAGCTATGAGGGGTTCTTTTTCAAATTGATCTATATAAAGGCACATTCTCTCAATGTTTCCATACTTTGTTGATGTTGTTGCCATGAGAAAACTATTCAAGTCAAAAAGAGGATTTATTCTGAAACTTAATTGAGTAAATTGGCAGGTAGTCATTAACTGTGCTTTGGTAAACCACCGAGTTCTGGATCATTTTACTTCCATCATAATGTGTAGACAAAATAAGAAGGTGTTAACCTAAGGAATTTAGATAATTTTTATTTGAAATATTTTTAAAATACCTTGATATCAAGTATATTAAATATATTAGGCATAGTAAGAAAAACGAAAAAGCATATAACCCATTTTAAATCTCATACTGTTAATAAAATGGCTCTAGTCAACATACTTTTCACTAAGTTGTGATTTTTTTAATAGCATAAAAATGAAGCACAAATATTTTCAGCTAAATACCTTTTCTAAGTTCTAAGCATTAGAGAAAAAGTCTCAAAATATATTCCTTTTTATATTAATTTCAATCACTATTATTGAAATGCTTTAGATTCAAAATGTTAAGCTGACAGAAGAGTGACTGGTATGAAAGGGTAACAGATATCCTTTAAATTTTGTTCACATGTCATATGGTTGTCTGGAAGACAATCATTTAATGCTAACTCTTTTTTTTCTCCCTGTTATAGTTGATACCCTTTCATCCTGGGTGGGCAAAACAGATTACACCTCCCAATAAAAAGAATAAAAACATACAGCTGTAGGTGGTTTGGAGTTCTGAAACTATATGCTATCCAGAAAAATAAACATTGGAATTATATTAAGAATGTATTGATTGCATGAATGGCAAACAACTTTCAAATAACAGCAAATATTATCCATAGTTTATAAATTCTCCAAATAACAAAGGTGCTTCAATCAATCAAAAATAGCTATTTAAAATGGCTTAAAAAACAACGGGTGATGTTTGACACATTTTACCAAGACAACAGACGATTCTAAACATAGCTCATTCTTCATACTTTAGTATCTGTGGATCAGAAAGAATCAATTACTTTATTTTTGTCTCCAAGGATTTATTGAAGGGCTAAGGAGGGCAGAGAACTGGAAAAAGTGACTGTCAGAGCAGTTAAAAAGTTTTTTAATTTATATATCTTAAATCTTATAAAATCATGTCTAGGAAGATATTTTTAATTATAGAGGAAAAAAACAAAGGCTTGCCTGGGAGCACACAGTCCAACACAGGGAGAGATTTTACATGAATACAGGACTTCTGCACTCAGAATCCAGGTGTGTATTTATTCACCCTGAGTTTTCTCAAAAACAAAACTGAAAAGAAGAAAAAAGAATAAGCTAAGGTAAAGGGTGGATATTGTTAAGGAGGCTTTTCTTTCCTTTCAAATTAAGGTGTAGCTAAGTCCAGTTAGTGGGAGGAATGGATGGAAAAACATGTACTGTGTTTAGGATTCAAAATAAATTGGCAGCTCCTTGAGGAAGTAAAAGGAGGATAAAGTAAGAAGAATGCACAGGCTGCAACTGAGGACCCCAGGGATTCATTAAGCGTGGTTCCATCAGTCATACATGGCATGTTCACTCTCTATATTTAATGGGCGTTGGAGGAGGAGCTCTATAATCTTTCCAGTAGTTTTGCTTCTTTCAGGTTCGTTGTGTCAGTTACTTGGATGGTACTTGATTTTTGCATAAGGCGGTCAGGAAGGGCCAAGGGCACCTTTGTGAAAAGCACATTAACAGAGCAAATGTTAAAGAAACCCAGCCATATTTAGTATTTCTCTTGTTCTGCCTGATTGCCTAAGACTTCGCTGGTAAAAACTTTAGAGGAGACAGTTTGAGAAGACATATCAAAAATGTTTTTAATGTCTATTTATGAATTCTAAAATATTATACAAAAAAATTGTACAAGTACACAAAGATGTACAGAGAGATAACTGACATATTCATGCTCACAAAATGTTAAAAATGATGGAAAAATCAAAAAAATAGAAGATGGTTTAAATACATTACTCTGTGTCTACAAAATGAGTTAATATGCAGTAATTGATTGTTATAATTAAGAAATATATGACAATATATTGCTAACAGAAAAAGCAGATTTTAGACATTATGTTCTGGTTTAAAATTATCTCATACATGTTTACATAGGTTGAGAGATACAAAGTTTCAAACATAGATATGAATGTTTAAGTTCTGTGTTGCAGATCATAGAATATTTTGATACTTCCTTTTACTTGAATTTTCTAAGTTTTCTTCAATGCATATTGACCATTTTTCTAAGTGTAAAAATGCTAAACAGTAAATATATGAAGAAAGCCTTCCCATTACCAAATTTGAGTAGCAATACCAAATTTGACATATAAAACTCAATATTGAGATATTTATAAGAAAGAGTGCCTTGCAATTCATTAATCAAAAGGGCATCTGCAGAACCCAGTGACTTTTTCAAGGAATCTGGATGCCGAGTTTTGAAAAAACTCCCTTTTCTGAAACAAATCTTTTCAAAATAACACTTCGTATCATAATCCTTTTGGTTTGTGTGCTTTCACTAAGTCTACATGACCTAAGTCATGTGTAAAATAAGAATATTTAATAAGCTTGGATGATTATTCTTAATGCTGACAATATTTCTGAATACAAAATCTTATCATCCAAACATTATTCCCAGCAAACTGTAACTGAGAGTTTGTATGATTATTTTTTACTCATTTTGATGGTTTTGCAAAAGAAATACACATATTTTCATCTATTGCAGGTCAAATAGTTCCAGAAATCCTTGTGAACATTACAACATAGGTAAGATAAATCTTATAAGCCTTAAAGTATTCTGGGATACCTGTTATTTGTATGTTAGCTCCTCCTTTTTGACATGAGTTATGATAGGACAAGGTTCATATCCTTAGCACTTCTGACATTGTATCTGGTGCTCCATTGTTTGGCTTGCTCAGTACCTGAATTAGCCCATGGACTCTCATTTTGTGGTGTCTACCCTGTGGGTAATCTTGCTGTCCTCTTTTTGATACTTCTTTGGTACAGCGTATTCTATTTTGTGTGTTGAATGCTGAATTTTTAAAAATGTTCCAAAAATTTTACAGTCTACGGTGTTCTGCCTTGTAAATACTATGATATTTAATATGAATGCAAAGTGGAAAAAGCATGTTCTTATTTATCAAAGTAAGTTAACAATATAGCATTTAAGTTTCTTCTTTGGTGATGCTTGGCCAATTTGCTTAATGTTTTAAGCGTGGGGAAAAAAAAATGACCGAAAAGTTCTGTCTAAAGAATTGCGAAATTTGGACTTGATGATGTAATTTAAAATAGAGGAAGTCAGTTTATTCACGTAGATTTATTGGCATCTCCTACCGTATACTGACTGCAGGTATTGGGCCAAAGGTGATTTTTACCCAAAGATGGAAAAAGACCTCTTACTTGCTGACTTATAAATTGTTGTATCTCTGAGAGAAAGAACCAATAAAATAGGATGAAAAAGGATTTGTGGAACGTAGAGCTAAACATATTTAGATGTGGTTTCTATTTCAGTTATTTCTCAGCATGTCTCTTTGAGCAGATTACTCATCCTCTTTGACTTTTGTCTCCCGTTATAGCAAATGCAGAAAATAATGTGAAACTTAGAGCGTTGTAGAAATTAAATATGCGTTTTTATATAAGGAAACAAATATAATTCCCGGCATTTGGCAGTGCCTTTTTCTCTAAATACCTAAAATGCTATGGGTGAAAATGCTTGTTGAAAATAAATTTTGCAGAAATTGCCAGTGTCATATCTTGTTGTATTTAGCAAGGAATGTACAACATTTTGCTTGTCGGGTGTTATTTTAAATGTCTGTGGAAACTTAGTGTGCTCATTCACAGTGTTCCTGGCTACTTCTATTCCTGCCTCTCAGCTCTGTTGCTTCCATGGCCTGTCCTTAGGTCCAAGTCTTTTGAACTTTTTAAGTCTGATTCTTCCTATCTACAATATGGGAATAATACTCATTGGAGATTATGAAATTTAAGTGAGATTATCTACATCTGTGGCTTTCAAAAGTATAAAATACTATGCAATTATGCTGGCATGTTGTTGCTATTATTACATGTAGATGCTTAAATCACTAAAAAGACTGATCAGAATTGAGAATATTAGCATGTGTCCAACTGTACAATTTGCAAATTCAAGACTCAATGAAAGTAGTAGATTGGACTGTCAAAATGCCATGCTTGTGAATAATTGAGCAAATCAGCTTGGTGCAGTCTTACTCTTCACATAATTTAGGACTAAGGAGCACTGAGGGCCACTGGCCAAGCAGTTGTATGCTGATGCCAATTCATGCTGGTGCCAGTCTTTACTGACTCTTGATAGCTGACTGTGCCCATCTCTTTCCAACTCCAAACTCAGTGACCTCACACTGGTAGCTTAAAATTGGCAAGAATCAGAGTACTTCACCAAGGAAATCGAGGCACTACAAATTAGGACTTGTTTTGTTTTGAGACACAGCTGTCAAACATTTACCAGCATGCCACTGGACACAGCCATCGCTATGCCCATTAAGAGCATATCATACTTAATAAAATTCCACTGGATGTATTTATACACAGTAAGAATGTTTGAAAAAAGTAACCTTTTCTCTGATGTTGAAAGGATGTGTTATTTCTGACAAGGTAAATTCTTTTTACATTATATTATGAAATAGAGAATACAGCCAAACAGAGCAGTGATAGCCAGTAGTAGAAAGATTTCTTGCTTTCAAACTAAGATTTTTGAGACAGCTAATTGTCAGGTGAAAGCATTAAGGAGTGACTATTAACAACAGTAGCTGGTGTTTGCTACTCACATTTTATTTATTTGACAGTCTTTTTTGTTTTTTGTATCTAGCAATTTCTTTAGATTCGGAAGAATAGTCTGCCTGTTGACTCAATGAAAGTGCAATTTGTTTCTAATTCATCAGGGCTTCTGAATTTTTGTTCGAATTTATAATGAGAATATGGTACCTTTGAAAGAAATATAGAAGCTGAATTTATATATGCATTTTTATTATATTCCAGTGTACTGTCACCATACGACTTCATTTCATGATTAACAAACTTCTTAAGAACACCAAGAGCACTTAATAGAGGTTCTTTCACAATTTATGCAACTTAATTTGAGATTATTTTAAAACAGTTATGTCTACTTAATAATGGCAAAATAGTATCACTTTAATAGGAATGAACACAAGACTTTCCTTTGTGTTAAGTTACTCCTTAGTCTTAAGTCGGACACCTTAGAAATACAGGTTCCAGGGCCATAAATGGCAATTTAGTAACCAAAGTGGTTGTTAGGTACATTAGATATTTAATGGAGTGGATTTAAAATTAACATTCACTCAGAAACTATATGTACTGATTGACTGTTACATGCAGAGTTCTACATGGATGCCCTCTATTTGGGAGTCCACAGTATATGCTTTGCAAATATTTGAAGGAAGGAAGGAAGAAAGGGTCCTGAAGAATATGCAAAAATGTAACACTCAAAGAGTTTGCTCTAAAAAGCATGAAAGTCTAAAGAATTGTAGTCAAGGTTCTTCAGAGAAATAGGATAGGGTGTGTATATGTGTACGTATTCATATACCCAGATTTATTTTGGGAATTGGCTCATGTAATTGTAGAGGCTCACTAGTGTAACATCTGCAACGTAGGCTGGAGACCCAGGAAAAAGTTGCAAAAGCAGTCTGCTGGCAGAATTTCACTTCCTTCTGGTGAATTCAGTCTTTTAACCATTAATACCTTTAAGTGATTAGATGAGGCCCATTCACATTACGGAGGAAAATCTGCTTTACTCTGTCTGCTGATTTAAATGTTAATCTCACATAAAAATACCTTCATGGGGCCAGGTGAGGTAGCTCGCGCCTGTCATCCCAGCACTTTGGGAGGCCGAGGCGAGCGGATCACGAGGTCAGGAGCTCGAAACCGTCCTGGCTAACACAGTGAAAACCTATCTCTACTAAAAATTAGCTGGGCATGGTGGCACATGCCTATTGTTCCAGCTACTCAGGAGGCTGAGGCAGGAGAATCGCATGAACTTGGAAGGTGGAAGTTGCAGTGAGCCGAGATTGTGCCACTACACTCCAGCCTGGGTGACAAAGGAGGGAGACTGTCTCAAAAAAAAAAAAAAAAAAAAAAAAAAGAAGTCAAGTAACTTCATGGAAACATCTAGCATATTGTTACTCCAAATATCTAGGTATTGTAACCTAGTTGAAAAATAGAATTAATCACCCCAGGAGGTAAGACTGTGATGCACAAAGAGTTAAAGCACATATTAAATAATGGACTAAAATTGTGATTACAATGTAATACTAAAGGCTATTATACAGAGAAACATAGTCTGAATTGGACCTTGGGACACAGGTGGGATTCTAACATAAAAGCTAAGTATATACCACGAGTAATAGAGTGTTAGCAATGTGAAACCGTTTTCAAATTACTACACTGATAGATCACCTAATCTGGGCTAGGTACTACCCAGGACTTCAAAAAGAGTATCATCTGATTAAATCAGAGCGTCAGTGGTATGTTTCAGAAAGGATCTATGAGTTATAAAATATGATTAAGATGAAACATTAACCATGGACTGAAAGATCAGATTCACTATCTTATTAAGCTTCCTGCAAAATAGATTGGGTGCTTATTATTTCATTTAATAGAGGAGAGCTCATTGTGTGATAGATCTGCATCTACTAGCAATATGAACAGTTAACAGTAACTTCCTTTATAGCAGGAGACTCCCTTAACTCATCTATAACCTAGGAATGCTTGCTTCATGGCTATTATAAAGCTAAATTTTAAATCATGTTATTTTATGCATAATATTGAATGAGGGTATATTACATTCCAGGCATTATGCTATTTGCTAAACATAAAAGAACAAACAGAATCATACATTCATGGAGCTTATATTTAGGTCATTCCTTTATTTAAAATATTATATATGTGTGCTGTAACAGTAGAGGGCCTATTATAGAAAATTAATAGCAGACACCTATGATTAATGCAAATTGTCTTAATATTTTCCTCACTCTGTATGCAGAGACCCATAATATGTTTATGTATACTTAAAAGTGCAATCTGAAATTCTTCCATCCTTGACCTCCTTTAGGTGTTACAGTTTTAAAGTTACTTTTCAAAGTACAAAAATATTTTAAAGCTAAATAGTCCTATCACAGAACCAAACCTGATGAAAAATCGCAGGGCTTGACATTGATTTAATATCCAGTCTTGCCCTTGGGTGTGTGAATCACAATGCAGCGTGTTTTAGAAAAACATGTAGTACGTTTATGAGTCAGACTTTGGAGAGAGGTTGTCTTAGACAAACAAATGTGATTCATCTATGCAAAATTTAGAAAGGACTGCACAGAGAACGTGTCCTAAAGACTTCACATTCAGACAGGTTGTATTCCCTTGGAACATGGCATGTGGGAAACTTCAACCCAGCAGTATGTGAACAGTATACTACTCCTTTTCAGATAGAGCTGTAATGGTTTGACTGCACAGGGACGCAGAACACTGAAGAAAGTGTTGACCTTAAATATTTGTGGATAAACCTGAGTTTTCTTTGACATTTATCGTGGGGTCTCTGTGACTATAATATAATCAGGTCAGAATTTAACACACATTCTGCTGGCATATGTCAAGCCTATCCCTATTAAGACCATAACTACCAATTAATTATATTATGTAGCTGAGAAAGTAATGATCTGATTAGTTACTTAAACTACACCATCTTTTGTACCCAAAGCTTGGAGGCCAAGACAGGTGGATTTCCTGAGGTCACGAGTTCAAGACCAGCCTGGCCAACATAGTGAAACCCTGTCTCTACTAAAAATACAAAAATTAGCCACATGTGGTGGCAGCTGCCTATAATCCCAGCTAGTCGGGAGGCTGAGGGCAGGAGAATTGTTTGAATCCAGGAGGTAGAGATCGTGCCACTGCACTCCAGCCCAAGTGACAGAGTGAAAAAAAGGGTTTTTTCTCCTGGATATATTTTTATTGTGCATGGCTGTTGCCACAATCTACCTGTAGCTACTTAGATTTAAGGGCTTAAGTCATGACTTTAACCCTCAGAAGCTCTGAAATTTCTGCGAAGTTGTTGAATGTACTGGTATCATAGATAATGGAAGTAATTATCCCAGGGTTGCTGGGAAAATTATATATGAGATTTTAAAATTGTGTCTGGTACAAAGTAACTGCTCACAAAATAGTAGATAATAATTTATTGGTTTGGGGGTGTTGGAGTAGGACAGTAATATTGAGATGCTAGACGTCAGATTTAGATAAATTTGTACAGTTCTTATAGGCAAAGTACACAAGTTTGAGGATTTCAGGTGATGCTAAACAAAAAACCTTTTCATGCTTGGTTTATTTTGGGTAGCTATGGTAAGGATGCATATTGTTCAAAAATCTTGACATTTCATTGTAGTTAAGTAGAATCCATATTACTGAGAATGTTCATGTAACTATGATTCATGTGTTAATGCCTACAGTAAGTTATATCATGATCAAAATCCCATATATAAATGTTTTTTTTTTCTACTTTATTTTCGTACTTATGAATACTCTGCAGAAAAAGCACTTTTGGAAAAAAGACCTCTGAGAATTATTTTCTTCATGAATAAATTATCAAAAATGAACTTTAGAGCTGGGGGTGCTACACCAAGATTTGCATTTTACTCAAGAAAATGGCTGAATCTTGGGAAGAAGAGTGAGCTTTGTGGCTATTTAACTTACCCTTTTTCCATGCACTCTCCCGAGCTCTACAGTAATATTGACAACCGACAGGCAAACCACCCTGTTAGCTATGAACACCAACCTTGTAGCATTCACTAGAGGGATCAGAATAGCATTTGGAAAATATACCAAGGCTCTTCCTAATTAAAGTTTTTTTCTCCTGGGGATGACTGATGCTGCAGACTCCAGAGCCCAATCTACCTCTAACTACTTACCTTTATGGGTTTAATTCACACCTTAGGGCATAATCTCCTTGAGGACTGTTGCCATTTGACCTGTCTAACAGTTACTCTGGAAAGGTCCATTTTCTGTGATAGGCTTTATCTAACCCCAGGGCATAGTTAGAAAACAGTTAGTGGCAAATGTTTACAAGTGCAGCTACCTAAGTTTAGGACCACCAAAGAAAAAAAAAATGAGGTTAAACTAGCAAATGAAGTGTGAGTTGGGGTGTATATTTCTGGTAACACAGAAGTCCCCTTGCATGTTCAGGACCATTTAAGGAGATCTCTGACCAATCACTAGTTTATCACTAAGCTACTGAGAGAGTCTTAAAGCTAAATATGAAAGAGAATAGCTCAGGAAAATTAAACCTTGAGGTAGCTGGTTTGATTAGGAGAGAGGAAGAAACACACATGAGAGAACCAGGAAATTATGGCACTTAACGCAAGAATAAAAAGCATTCAGTAGAAACAAAATTGGCTAATACAAATACATGCAAAGAACTAAATGAACCATTCTTGAATAACTTTGGAAAGATTGAAATAATGCCTAACAAAAGAGAACACCTCAGTAATATTATTTAAAAACAGAATAGAAATTCTAGAGTTAAAGCAGAATAAACAGCCTACAAATATTTGAAGAAAAAAATGACCGCAAACATCCAAAGTCTGAAAAAACTAACACATCAAAGTTCAGACAACTCTAACTTGGATAAACTCCAAGAGATGCAAACTTAGAAAAATCATAGTCAAACTTTGAAAAACAAAACAGGAATAGACTGTTGAAATCAGGAAGAGAGAAGTGAGTCATCACATCAAAGTGGCTTTAATAGATTAAGAGCCAACTTTGAGAAAAACTATGGAGCCCAGAACACAGTGGGATGACATATTTACAGTGCTATCAGAAAAAGGCTCAAAAGAATATTATAGAAATTTAATAGAATATTCTTCAAAAGAAGGCAAAATAAATACTTCAAATATAAAAGAAAAAAACCACAAGAATTATGGCAGAGAAGTTTTATCAGGCTGAAGGAAGGTAAAATAATTACCATGAATACAGAGCAATGCTGGAAATAACTACGTAGGTAAATACGAAAGATGGTATTTTATAGTAGTGTTCTTTTTTCTGCCTGATTTTAAGAAACAACTGTATAAAACAACAGATATTAACCTTTGGAATTGGGTCTAGCTATTGCAAGATGGCAGAGTAAGACGTTATACCTTGAATCCCCCTGTAGAAACAGCAACTTAAATTATTGCCTACATGCCAAATACACTTTCATAAGAGCTAAACAAACCAGACGAGAGATTAAAGCATCTAGATGTAGAACAGAACTAAGAAAAAAATTGCATTAAACATGGGCAAAAGAAGAGCTTTTACATTGTCCCTGTTACCCTCTCCCTGACCAGCAGTACAACTTGAAACCAGGTACCCTGCATTCTCCAAGGAGAGAGAAATGAGCACCAGACTTTTCCTTGGACTCACAGCAATTTTCAGCTAAAGAACAAACCAGAGGCATTGCACACATTATTTGATTTCAAGTATACTACAAAGCTATAGTAATCAAAACATCATGGTGATGGTATAGAAACAGACACATACACCAGTACAATAGGGAACGTGGAAGTAAAACTACATATTTATAGTCATGTGATGATGCCAGGAACACACAATGGAGATAGGACAGTGTCTTCAGTGAACTGGGTTGGGACGAATGGATATCCATGTGCTGAAAAATAAAATTGTACCCTCTCTCAGAACATATAAAAAAAATCAACTCAAAAGGAATTAAAGATGCAACAAAAAACTAAAACTACTGGAATAAACTTCTTGACGTTCATTTGGACAATAATTTTTAAGATACTTCCCCCACCTCATAAGCAACAAAAACAAACACAGACAAATGGGATTATATCAACTACAGCTAGTGCTCGAATTACAACCATGATTGGGACCAGCAGACTGGTTGTAACACGATTTGGTCGTAAGTTGAGTAGGCTATATGTACA